ACTAAATTCTGGCACAACCCCCCAATTTGCATATGTTCCACACCCTGTACATCTACTAACAACAGACTAAATTCTGGCACAACCCCCTATTTGCATATGTTCCACACCCTGTACATCTACTAACAACAGACTAAATTCTGGCACAACCCCCCAATTTGCATATGTTCCACACCCTGTACATCTACTAACAACAGACTAAATTCTGGCACAACCCCCCAATTTGCATATGTTCCACACCCTGTACATCTACTAACAACAGACTAAATTCTGGCACAACCCCCCTATTTGCATATGTTCCACACCGTGTACATCTACTAACAACACACTAAATTCTGGCACAACCCCCCTATTTGTATATGTTACACACCGTGTACATCTACTAACAACACACTAAATTCTGGAACAACCCCCCTATTTGCATATGTTCCACACCGTGTACATCTAATAACAACACACTAAATTCTGGCACAATCCCCCTATTTGCATATGTTCCACACCCTGTACATCTACTAACAACAGACTAAATTCTGGCACAACCCCCCAATTTGCATATGTTCCACACCCTGTACATCTGACAACAAGACGTAAACAATCAAAATTCCTCTGCGCATGCGTGTTGTGACTTTCCCATGACCAGTGCTGCTAGTGTGATTAATTAGTTTTAATTAAAATAGTTTAATGTCCCCTAACGAATCTGTTGCCTGGGTAATGAGAGGAAAGAAAATGTGGGAGAGGAAGTGGGGAAGGCACCAGATAGGGGTGTAATTCCTTTTTAATTGGGGGCTCTTCTTGTAAGCTTTTCTCTCTGAGGGGAATTTGGCTCAAGTATTAGGTGACGGTCTAGAGATTTCCTTCAAAGTCCACTCATTTTCAGGACAAAATCAATAAAACCTTGGTTAGATCTGCCATGTTAAGTCATCCTAACAATACGTGAGGTAACATTCGCCATTTCTGAGAATAAAACAATGAAAAATATTGATGAATCATCACTTTATAAATGTATAATGCGTGTATGAACCTTCGAGAAGCCATCATGTTCGAGAGAACATAAATTTATTCCTAGTATTAGTACATATTAATACAAAACTTCTACAACAGAAGCAAATACAAGCTACTCTCTTTCAAGAAGCCACAAATTATGACCAAGCATTCATTTAGCAATCCGACACACAATGTATTATAGGAGAACTACCTCATCGAAATAATACAAGTTTATTAAACATTGTGATCCAAGTTATAAGCCTCACCTTGTTGATTTATTCTAAATGTATTGCTCTATTTTCTCAACTATGTATTATCAACAACAACAACAGCTTTATTAGGACATTTCCGTCCTGTAAGGACTCGCTATACATCATTTTCATGGAGAAAAGGAAAAAAACATAAACAAAGGAGAGAAGGGAATATGAAAAGGAAATCAAAGTATTCAATGCATTATATATAGTCTAACATATATACACATGGTAATTTAAACCAACAACCCCATACTGTGTATATAACTTATAATAAGATTGTCATGTTGTATATAGAGACACATCTATAAATAATTATGCGCATGATTAATCTGTGTCATCGCATCGCCCTATGTAATGTAATTTGTACAAAGTGGATAAATAAATAAAATCTGTAATAGATTTAAGAGTTGAGCTAGGGCAGAGATCGAACATATAGTATTGCCAAAACAACAGAGTCTAAAGATGGAAGTCATAAATCAGGTAGATTCACAGTTCCCACGACAGGCCACCCACACTGTCACATGTGGTGGAATGCAGAGACCCCTCTCACACCTGGACAGGTAAAGGCGCCCTTTCTCAAACGCCCCTGTCACATAAGGTCGCCCCGTCTTTAACCTATAAATCATCACCTTACAGTCTCTTGACAGTTCAGTCAGCACAGTTCAGTTCAGTTTAGTTTAGTTCACCCTTAGTGCAAGCCGCGTCGGTCGTATGTTATGTCGATCTCATCCAACATGTAGTTAGGAAGAACTCGTCTATCTCCATCTTTTCGCTCCTAGCTCAACTTTTATCTATTAACGGAACTTTCTTAGTGCAACTGTGTCTTCGTTTTTTGTGTATGGATATCCCCAAGCTTTTCCACTCTGCCTCGACCACGACTGCCTGTATTTTGTGAGAACTTTTAAAGGTCTTCCAAGGTGCAGAGAGGTACTGGAAAACTCTACATCCTAACTGTTCCTCTTGGTCTACACATGGCTTACCAGAACTTCAACTTATTTCAGTAGTCGACATCAAACTCAACAAATCATTACAGTGAGTCGACAGGACATCTATTATTACATTAGTCGACAGGATTCTATAAGAGTCAACAGGATTATTTATTTCATACATATATACCAAAAGAGGCACCTTTCCTTTTTATTGTGCATTCAGAACGATGGCACTGTGCAGCACCCTAGTAAAAAACTTTACTAGTGATTTTTTTTGTTTATCCCTAGTACACGTGGTACAGGCCATGATAATCATGGTGGGTAGTTAGCGACTGCTTTTACTGTAAGTGCACCACATGTCTACACATGTGAAAAGCAGTTCGACTTTGCACTTACAAATGTGCCAGAGCCCCGTGTTTACTAGTGATGATAATAAAGAATGAGCCACAACCTCAGTTTCGACAAATTCAGACAAAAAGCCAACAACCTGTATACCATGGTTTCAGGCTATGGCCCTCATCAGTACAGGGGCGGCTTCAATTTCATAACATCCTACGAGAGGGTGGAGTATGTTCATAGTTTTCTTAAATACCATTCCTAAGATTCTACTCTTCATTACAACATATACAAATAGAATTGTCCAATACAGCTCTAAGAAGTGGCCTTCTTCTTCTTCTTTCTTATCTCCACTCAATCACACTAAGGTATCAAGCTTGTAAAGCTTGAGATTTTGATGGTGTCTGCCGGGGAAGAGTAGAGCTCATCAATGGATGAGTCAATACAGTCAATAATGTGTCTTGGGATTGCAGGCTGAGAATTGCAATAAGAAGTGGCCTGGTAGATTAAATTGGGGAAACCGCTGTGAGAGTTCACCAATGATGACCAAGCTCTTCCAATATATTTTTTCATCGCAGTAAGGATAGTAGAAGATTGTTTTATATTTAAAAAGAGAAACATTCGTGCTTTAATGCTTCAATCCCTTATATATAGATGGTATCAAATCACAAGCTTTCGGGCATAATCACCCTTCTACTGGTGTAAAACGAGACAAAACATTAGAGGCAATCAGCTATATATATATATATATATATATACAAAAAGTAAGAAAATAAGACAGATATGTAAAATTGTGCCAGAGAAATTAACATAACTGTGACGTTATCGTCTTTAATAATGAATAAATTCTTCCATACCGTTAATGGCCAGTAACTAACGGTTCTGTTCATATGTTGTAATGAAGAGTGGAATCTTAGAAATGGTTTTCAAGCAAACAATGGACATACGCTTTTAGGACAGTAGAATTACATATAAATTTATTGTGTTGTCGGCTGTCAGTGTAGCGTGGGGTGGTCACCAGTGAAGTATTGTCATACTGGTAGTGAAACTGTCAACCTACAGGCTGTAAGGACCTGATCCACTTATACTCCGTCATTTGGAGAGATGTCGTGTCCGTCACAGAAATGTATTTTTTGTCAACTCGTTCTTTACAAGTCGAGGAAAGAATATTTCATTGTTACCACTTCTTTTTTATTTTTCTATTTTTACCATTGGGATATAGCTTCCTCTTGTATTCTTCTTGCGGAAGTAAAAATTAATATAGGGAACTATTTTTGGTGTCTTTTTCTTCACAGAGTTTAATATTGTGTTCATTTGTATATTTCAACTAAAGATTCTCATAATGAATGCAATAATCCATCAAGAATAGAATAATTTACTATTTATTGATTCTATATTTTAAAGTAAATTATATATTTAAGATTAAACTAATATTTTCAATCGACTCTCGTGTTCCAAATTAACTTTACTAGGTGATGCTCAAAAAGAGCAACCTAGCTTATGTTATTGACAACAATGAATAATAAGTGAAGGTTATTTACATATTAAAACATAGTGTACAATGCGGGATTAAATCCCGGTTCATGGCTGTCGGGAATCGAGGGTGTTACCCACTCGTCCACCAACTTATATAAATATTTGCCTCTGTCTCCTTTAAAAAATAGATTATCGGTGATATCAAAGACTTTTTACTTCCTTAAGTTTTGTTCATTAGTATATTTGGCTCTAATTTTATCATTAAAGTACACAGTTATAGGAGCATATATTGGACACATCAGTGGTAAGCCATATCATAGTTGAGGGTAGAAAACAAGGAGGTTATAGAGAACACAGCTGGAGAGAAATATGATTCACTTTTATCATATTGAAAAATACGTCAAATGTATTATCGAAAGATTGCACAGTGTAGGTTTAATTTCTTTGTTTTTGTTGACTTTGCTTTGATTTTTTGACTGAACTCAAGAAGAATGATCAAAAATTATTTTTATTCTTCTTCTTTCTTATCTCTACTCAATCATATTAGGGTATCAATATTGTAGAGCTTGTTGATGGTGTCTGCTGGGAATGAGTAGAGCTTATCAATGGATGAGTCAATACAGTCAATAATGTGTTTTGGGGTTGCAAGTTGCGAATTGCACTTAGTACATGATTATCTTTATTGATTTACAAGAGAGAAACCAAACAAAGAGAAACTTATCTTCCATTAACGATTAGCATCTATTTACTTGTGATCTTCCACAAATATACTCTGCGGGAACATTTAATCAATTAAACAATTTTTTGCTTATCCCTAGTGCACGTGGTATAGGCCATGATAATCAAGGTAGGTAGAAGTATGCGACTGCTTTTACTGTAAGTGCACCACATGTCTACACATGTGAAAAGACTGTTCGACTTTTGCACTTACAAATGTTTGGTTATTTGCACTCGCTGGTGGGGTTGGACTTTTACAAGAATCGAGGGCCATTGGAGCATTTTTTTTTAAATCAGAAAAAAAAAGTGTCCAATGCGGGAATCGAACCCGGGTCGTAGGAGTCGAAAACCAACGGTTTAGACCATCCTTCCACTGACCCCCATTAATTAAACTTAAAATATATATACAACTGAGTTTTTTTCAGCTTCCCAGCATTTCAACTACAGCTATTCCAGACACTTCTTGGACTGCCTTAATTCAATGACACTGTCCAATTGAATCTACCAAGAAACAAACCGGCCTGGAAACACTTGGTGAACTGGTTCACTTAGGCTACCAAGACTGACTAATAAATCACAGGACAGCCCGGGTAGTTGGAAATCTATGGATACACTCCAGGAGCCTGGGTTACCTTTATGTTACTACTATAGAGTTTTATTTTGTAGAGAGAAAGTATAAAAAGAAGAAATTTATCAAAATTATTGTAAATAATAATCTATTTACACAACACAACGCTATTTAAAATATTTTTTAATAACAACGGAATGTGAAAATCCGTTTGTAAAATGATCATTCACTTTCTATTAAAGAAATAGAAAACAAAGCAATATAATGGCAGGCATCCTTCAGAAAAACAAATACCTGCAGGCCTTACATTATTTTTATTGATTTTCATTTTTAATCATAGAACGATTTTTTTAATTAAACCTTAAATCCAGATAAATGAAATCCGTAGATAAGGTACCCGAATTTCATCTCTATGGGCATTTTATTTTTTTATTATTATTTGTATGGATGCAAATAATTCCTTATTTTAAAATGGTTTCTTGTCCTTTTTTGGTATATTTTGGGATAGTTTTAATCCTTAATTTTTAAACAGGGGTGAGATGGTCAAATTGTTTAAAATATTATTCAGAGATATATATCAAAGCGATATTATAAATATATACTTTTCTATTAGATTTCTTTTTTTTTTTTACACTAAACGCGATTTCCCTATTTTTATCTGACTTATAGGTAAGAGCTAAATATTATGTAAAAATTATAAAAATATTTTCAGAATTAATACTTTATATATTTCTTTATTTTTATGGAAAAACCTGGGTTTTTCTTAAATGTCAATCACTTATTGTTTTCTAAAATTCGAAAAAATTGGGCACTACTCTATCAGTAGATGTGATTCCTTCTATGACACCTTGTGCAATATTCTGGCAAAAAGACTCGAATAGATCATTATTTATTTGCAACGTGAACGACAGACATAGTTAACGCAAAACGACATCTAAAATAAACGCCTTCCTATCAACACCACATATATACACAATTAGCATCATAAACTCTGTCCTAAATAATAAGATAAACACAATGATGAAGCACAATTTGGATTATAGATATAAGAGAATAAGACCTAATCCAAATAAATAGTGTGTGACGTTTCTTTTGTCTGACGATGGTAACAACGCTGTTACCGAAACGACACATACTATTAATTTATTTGATTAGGTCTTATTTTCTTGAATAGTTAAACACAAATATAAACTAACGAGTTAATATATTAGACCTTGAATACTCCGAGATTTGTGTCAAAATTGTCTTCGAAATTTCTACATGTTGAAAAAGCTTTGAAACGTTCTGTTAGCGATGACCGTTATTTCATCCTTTTAGGAATGATTTGATTATACTAAAACATTGACTATTAATTCTGATTTTATTTTTGGAAAAATAAACCTTTTTAAATAGACTTTATTATAATAATCTACAAAATATTCTTTTTTATTTCTATATTTTAGTCATTTTATATATTTGATATCACTTTGTTTGGCTAATATTCAGAACAATACTATAATGTTTTGAGACAAAAGGCGATCCATCAATTAAGATTATATAAAAGGGTGTACCTGGATCTGTAAAGAAAAAAAAAACTTTTTTTTTTCTTAAAATATTTCGAGAGATTGCTTCCTCTTTATCAATTTATTGCACAGATACATATGATATATATCACTATAATGATTTCTACCAAATATCCGCCATGGAGAGGCCACCACCACTATATTCACAGGCCCTGGCTATGTACTGTCAGACATTACACTTGTACATCCCGAAACAGACCCTACCTGCATCTACTGTTCAGAAGAACCACAGACAGTTGATCATCTTCTCTTCAGCCGTCCAGTATTCCTAAGACATAGGATACAAAGAGCTATCCTGCTTGGACTGACCCACCTCAATCCTACATCTATGGCCAGACTCAACCTCAGCATGGAACTTCCTAGTCAACTGATTCAACTCAGCAATCAAAACAGGACGCGAGTAAAAGCGCTTAGTACTTGTCTATACTATCTTAAAGATAGAGGCTGCCTGGTCGGAATTCATAGCTCTTCAAATTAAAGAGAGATACTTCAGCCAATAAATCATTTTATTATCTCGACATTTCGACAAAAATATTTTGTCTTCGTCAGGAGCGAACAAAAATTTTAAACATTTGGCAAAGCGTTAAAAATTATATAATAAAATAATCATAATTTTCAACGCTTTTCCAAATGTTTAAATTTTTGTTTGCTCTTGAGAACAAAATATTTTTGTAGAAAAGTTGAGATAATAAAAAGATTTACTGGCCGAAATATCTTTAATTTTAAGAGCAATACTAGTGAGCTGGACTCTCCAGGTAGTTGGTGTTCTGTGTTCCTTTAACTGTGGGTTATTAATATGTCTTTAGTTTCTTTAATACCTGGGATAGGGGAAGAAACAGCAAATACCTGGATGTCCACTGACGGACTAAGTCATCAGTAGTGAACAGCTAACGTCAGTATATTCTACTCGAATTCTACCACATTTCTTATACAGTAGACTCTCCTATAACGAAAGTTTTTACAACGCGATAAAAAAATTGCAACAAATTTATTTATACAACGCGAATTTTCGTATAACGCGTTATAAAATAAAACAATTTACCCTAACAACATTCGCGTTATACAAGTTTTATTTCGTACAACGCGAATTCCTATAACGCGTTTTCATACAACACGGAACACATTAATCGCGTTATAGGAGAGTTTACTGTATTCTTTAATTATTTTCTCTCATATGTAACAATAGCGTTACTATTAACCTATGAATGAATAGAGAATAGATATAAAATTATATTACTATAAATTATGGTTAGGGAATATATTTTTTAAAATTGAAATCTTGGTTTTCTAAAATTTATAATCTAAATTTATGTAATCTTATTTTTTCATACCTCATTTACATATGCTTATTCTTCCAAATTGATTTGCATAGTTAATGACTTTCTCCTTATTAAGTATTAATTTTTTTAAATTCGCGATAGAATTTCTGAAAAGTAAAATATTCTTGAAGTTTATAGTCTCTCATTATAGAGAGCACTATATATATATATGAAATTAATTTAAAAGAATTTAAAATTATTCAATATACGATTTGACAAGTTATATGTGACATATATACTCTAGAAAAGGTGAAATTTGATTTTAAAAATATATATTAACGCGATAAAAATGAAAATTATTTGTTTTTCGTCTTTGAATTTTATTTTAAAGCACTATATATGAATATAAAAAATATCAAACGAACACCGAGAGATATTATCATGTTGATGCCATAAATATTATATATATATGTAGTGATATAGAGGAGTGTTCGATGGTATTGTATATATGCAACAGAGTAGGTAGAATATGCAAATCTCACCGCCGGGTCTTGTTTGCAGGGGGAAGCAGCAGACGACTCCACGGCGCGCTCACTCGGCGACCCAACTCGTCGCCATTACCCGCCGCTCGCAGCGCCACTCGCCCCCCTAGCGGTGGTTGCCCGCACCAAGCTCGAATTGATTTGCCCGCGATCGGTTAACTTTCTGTTCTTTATTTGTGTGGGTTGATTGTAGTGTGTTTTGTAATTGGTTGTCCCACATTGGTATATAGATACTCGGGTATATCCGCATGGATAGTTTAGACACCAGTGATTATCATTATTTGTTGTAAAACACGAAATATTATATTGCTATATACCAGATATTAAATTATATGAGACCTGTAATATTTATGTTTCTTTTTTTAAATAAGCAATTTCATTCTCTTGCCGGTATTCATCATCAAATATCAGGTAGTTAAATCGGGATAAGTAAGAAGACACCTACACGGCCTGGTTACCTCGGGATAAGTAAGAAGCCACCTACACCGCCTGGTTACCTCGGGATAAGTAAGAAGACACCTACACGGCCTGGTTACTTCGGGATAAGTAAGAAGACACCTACACGGCTTGGTTACCTCGGGATAAGTAAGAAGACACCTACATAGCCTGGTTACCTCGGGATAAGTAAGAAGACACCTACACGGCCTGGTTACCTCGGGATAAGTAAGAAGACACCTACACGGCCTGGTTACCTCGGGATAAGTAAGAAGACACCTACACCGCCTGGTTACCTCGGGATAAGTAAGAAGACACCTACACGGCCTGGTTACCTCGGGATAAGTAAGAAGACACCTACACGGCCTGGTTACCTCGGGATAAGTAAGAAGACACCTACACGGCCTGGTTACCTCGGGATAAGTAAGAAGACACCTACACGGCCTGGTTACCTCGGGATAAGTGAGAAGACACCTACACGGCCTGGTTACCTCGGGATAAGTAAGAAGACACCTACACGGCCTGGTTACTTCGGGATAAGTAAGAAGACACCTACACGGCCTGGTTACCTCGGGATAAGTAAGAAGACACCTACACGGCCTGGTTACCTCGGGATAAGTGAGAAGACACCTACACGGCCTGGTTACTTCGGGATAAGTAAGAAGACACCTACACCGCCTGGTTACCTCGGGATAAGTAAGAAGACACCTACACGGCCTGGTTACCTCGGGATAAGTAAGAAGACACCTACACGGCCTGGTTACTTCGGGATAAGTAAGAAGACACCTACACCGCCTGGTTACCTCGGGATAAGTGAGAAGACACCTACACCGCCTGGTTACCTCGGGATAAGTAAGAAGACACCTACACCGCCTGGTTACCTCGGGATAAGTAAGAAGACACCTACACGGCCTGGTTACTTCGGGATAAGTAAGAAGACACCTACACGGCCTGGTTACCTCGGGATAAGTAAGAAGACACCTACACGGCCTGGTTACCTCGGGATAATTAAGAAGACATCTACATG